GTAGTTGGATAATATATTTAAACTATAAAATGATTCATTATAGAAAGAATTAAATTAATTGTTTAATTATTAGATAATGTTGCGAAAGAATTAAATCACTGATTCAATTATTATAAATAAATAATTAAAAATTGTTGAATAATACATAAAGATATCAGAGAAATATATTACTGATCCAATTGTTACTACAATTTAATCTAATTGTTAGAATTATTTTCTACAAGGGACGTTAGGCTTCTTGTCCGTATAAAAGAATGTATTATCTTATTTAGATATATTTGAATAAGGGCAACAGCTCGCCTGCTTTTTCATGCTGGCAAAAAGTCCTAACGTCCGCCATGCTTTATCGCGGTTGTGTGACGTGATTACTTATTGTTGTTCTGTATGCTTTATCCCGGCCACTGACTCGTGTGTCTGTTATGCTTACAATTATAGTCCTCTAGAAACGTTTGGCGTCGATTCTATTGATGTTTTAATTTCATCGCTTTTTAAATGAACTACGTCAGGGCAATCAAACAGCCCACTTTAAAGTGATTGACCAGCACTTTCAATCACATTCGTATAAAGCAGCCTCGCCGTCAGCGAGTAAAGATATTGCAAAGACAACACAGACAATACATCGTTGTAGACGTTACATTACATCACAAATATATAATTCACTCTTCACAATCTCCGATCGGAATCATTCGCTATACTTCACCAACGTAATCCTTATTCGCCTCATTCAGCGCTTCGAATCAATTCTATTTGGTCCATCGAGTGATAACAATTAAAAATGAGTATTTGAAAACTTTAAGTAGTTAGGAGGATTGTAGAACAAAATTAATTGTTTAATTCTTATAAATAAATCATGAGAAATGTTAGGTAATGTCAAAATAATTAGAACATTTAGAAGTATTATTTAAAAATTCAATTCCAAAGTTTGATGTGTACTTGGCGAAAATTCAATTGGTAATGAGCTTTTGGTACAGGTAGAGGTCCACCTGATTTTTTAATCGTCAATAATGCAAAATAGTTAGATAATTTTTGTTAGTACTTCGAAATACGATTTTTCTACTACAGTAATTAATAATTTGATAATTTTTAGGTTTTTGTAAATTTACAGCCCCATTAATTTAAAGCTAAACTATACTTGCACTATTAATTAACTTATACTAGCATACAGACTTATAAGTTAACAAATTAACAGTGTAGAACAATTAATGTAATTCTAGGCTGCAAAAATATAGAAATTACAGTATGTATTGTTGCTTTAAATTGATAAGGCTGTAAATTTACAACAAAAACTTAAATATTTCATTAATTACATATTTTTATCAAATTATTAAGTACTAAAAGAAAAAACATATTTCGAAATATTAAAAGACAGTCATCATTAACATTATCAGAAGGTCAAAATGACTTTGTATCAAATAGATAGAAGCTCATTATAAATCACAGATATAAATACAAATATACCTGTGAGTAATAATATTTTATTTATATATACTATTTTCATTATATGTGTTAACTCAGAATGGGATCTTCCTGCACATGGTTTTTTTGATAATTCAAATATTATATTACTCGTATTAATTATATTCTGAGTAAAATTAGAGTATATTTAATTAAAATGTCAATTTTCAAGAATTTTTATAAAACTTCAAACTGTATATATAGTAAAGATGGCGAAGAAGTCAAATATCCTCCGATTTACAAAATTATTTCAATTCTTTCAGTCAAAATTACAATTCTTTCACAATACTATCTCCTTTTCAGTTGTAATTATAATGTAATTTTAAATACAAATATATGAAAGATTCTATTTGTATAAAATTATATTTAGTATTAAATACAAGAAGATATTAGCGAAGTGTAAAGTCAAGTATGCTTTGATGATAAAATTGCTTGTATTAAATTAGTGGATATAGATTGTTAGAGTTTTAAATCGATACTGTGAGGTTCTCAGATTTTCTTCTAAAAGATATTTATTTAATTTAAATATACTTTGCTTTAATACTACAATGACATTCTTGAAGTAGTTCCGATCTTTGCTATAGATGTTATAAGATGATTCTTGTCTTCGAAATAATTTATTTCATAAAAAGAACTCTAAGATAGTTTTCTTTTGCGACATATAGGCAGCGAGAAATGATTGGGTTGGAGTGATTTGGTTAGCATAATATATATTAAATCGATTTATTTGGCTTGCCTTATTTCTTGCCATTTCTGGTTGTAGAGAAATGTTGTAATTTTGTTGAATGGTTAGTTTAAGTTGTATCGAAAAAGATAAGAATTTGTTGGAGATAAATTAGAGAAATAGGATGGATTTCGAGAGATTTCAATACTTTTAAGTCAGGTTTAGCCTTGGACTTTTTGATTCATATGGTTTATTGTGTTAAAAAGAATTTTTGAAACGAAATTTTTTGAATCAAATGGTACATTTTATGGAATTTTTTTTTTTGTTCGCAAGAAACAAGAAAAAAAATTCTTTTCTAAAGAATTTGAAACTGAAATTTGACTGTAGCAGATTTCGAATATCATGTCTTCGATACATTCACTGCTTGATCAACTTCAATTATTTTATTTGTTATAATTTTTCAATCAATATTTTTACATTTTTACAATTTTCGAGCAGAAAAATATCTAAGTACACAAATTCGATCGTTTTTAGTTTTAACCTTAGAGAAAGATTATTGGTTAAATAATATTTATTAAATTGATGCATATAAATTACCATTTTTCAAACATATTGGTACAAATATTGATTTCTTTTTTTTTTGTATAATCGATGAAAAATGTTTGGTAATTTAATTTTTTATACTAAGAAAATATGACTTCATGAAAAAAGATTGTAGAACAATTCATTTGGACTTATTTTTGAAAGGGTAACTTCTACTTTCACAGTATTGAGTTTTTTGAAGATGTATTGATAGAATATTAAAAATGGCACGTTTGAGAAAAAAATACTTCTTCCTCGAAAATTTTGCATGTTCAAATATTTTTATGGACATAGAAAAATTTTTTTCATAACTAAAGCTATCAAGATTGAAGTTTCCTCTTTGCACAAATCCTGTCAAACTCAACAATTTTTTCATCATAAGTACAAATACTTTCTACATACATTATAGTTATTTACTTATTTTTTAATTGATGTATAAATATATTGTTCGTTTAATAAATTTTGAAATAGCGAATGCATAGTATTTTTTAAATATAAATAGATTTATAAAAAGTTCTACTTTTTTTTATATAGTTGATAGTTGACTATTGATAATTGGTAAATTCAAACTTTGGAAAAATAACATTTCATTTGCTCTAATTTATATGCAGCATTAATCCAATGCAAGATCTGAGTATTAATAATAATTATTTTAAGTAATTTAATGAAGCAATGAACAAATAAAATAAAATTCCCAAATTTTGTCACATGACCATAAAGTTAATATATCAATTTTAGAAATTCATGATTTAATCCTTGTTTAATTCACACTAGAGTATCGTACAAATAATCTGCTGTGCTTAAAACAATTTATTTATTAGTGATCTAATTTACTGAACAAATATATCAAAAAGAAAAAAAAAGTATATATATATATATATATATATATATATATATAT